GTAAGGTGATATGGGGCAAGATGGGTCAGCATACATTCTTCATAGTAGCGCTGCTGAATCGCATATGGCATTCTAGCATATGCAGTTCGACTTAATTTTTACTTCGTTGTAAATAAGCATTCTGTAGCCTGATTATCGATAAAAAAATTAAATAGCAGAAAATAGCATTGGAATAAATGATCGATCTCTCATTAAAAAGACAGTCAAAAAAGGCTTACCATATATTTTGTACAACGGCGCCGGTGGTGTAGTGGTAAGCGTGATTACCTCTCACCCCAGTAGGCCTGGGTTCAATCCCAGTCGGCGCCGCCGGGATGTTCTGAGGCATAACATCTCTGATCACGCCTTCCTTCGGATGGGAAGTAAAGCCGTTGGTCCCCGGTTCATGAGTTGATGGGTCGATAGGTAGGGTCCAGGTGTGGGAGCTGCCTTCCTGGCACGTCGGTAGCATTGGTGCTCAGCACGGAAAACAAGATCGACGGAAAAAACAAACCAAAGGAAAAAAAAAATATATATATATTTTGTTACGACCGTAGAAATGCACTCTAGAAACATATGTAGGTGCAGCAGCCAGGGTTGGCATGCTTAATTTATCGCACAAATTGCTCATTTGTTAATACCAACATTTGTTGATACTTGGCGAAACATGGTATTTCTTGAAGCAACTGATAGAAAAGTGTTGAGGTTCCTTTAGGTTCGTACGCTGAGTAGAATAGAGGAGATTCATGTGTTGTCCTTCTTTGAAATATGAGCAATTATTTTATGAAGAACAGTTAGAAGAACTGATCATGTTTGAAAGAAGGAAACAGTCTTCCATAATGCTGTAATACGCATAAGCGTCCTACGGAGCATAAGGATTCCTCGGAACATGGAACAGTTATGCGTATAATGGCAAAGTATTAGCCATATCAAAAAAAGCGTTAAAGTGACCATAAAAAAATTACAAAATTACAAATGGGGATGTTTTTTCTGTGATGATAAATAAGAACACCAAATCCAAACGACGCTTAAAAACAGTACTCCACAGCTTTGGGACAAAATAAGTACCGTACAAACGGGGTAACATTGATAGTTTTTTAAAGTATATTCTAAATAATTTTTAAGGCAATGAATGTTTTTCAAATTTTATATTTTAAAAATATGTACAGGGTGGCAAGCGAATTTCCATTTTGAAATTCCTTGTTTTTCCCTGGTTTTCCTGGTCAATGATTTAAAAATTTCCTGGTTTTAAAAACCATGTATTTAAAAAAACAATTTTTAATAAAAAAAAAATAAAGTGAATCCTTGTACCATCATTCTTCGCGCAATGCGGAATTTCACAAACCAAAATAGGTATTAAGGTTCTTGTGAATGCCCGTGAAATCTTTATCTGATTGTTTGCTGTAAAGAAGCTAGTAGGGAGCCGCGCTATTTTGTCGTATCATGGCGCCTATTTCCGTTCTATGTGCTAAAACTATAATAGCAAAGCGTTTTCACTCATGTTTTTGCAAAAACATCTTTGCTTACAAGATTAATTACGATTGACACTGAAAAATTTGCGATAACCCGTAAAATGAGCGATTTTAGGGATGTACGACGAAGAAAAGCTGAGATACGAAGGAGTAGCGCGGAGCCCTATCTATTGCCTAAAATTTTGAGATCTATAAGCCCCTAAATCTTGATTCTGTTTTTGAAACTGCGATTTTTTTAGCTTTATTATTGAGATTTTTAGCCCGTTGGCTAAGTTTATCTCAAGGTGAAATTGCGAAGTGTGATATGAATGAGGACTCTTTTAACAAACCTTTGCTTCTAACAATTTTACGGATTTCCAGTTTGATTAAATTTTCCGCAAATTGTTTAGCAGAATTTTGATTACAACATGATTTCAAAATCATATGATTAAAAGATTTCATAAACAACACTGATTTAATAACTCTTATTATTAAAAAAAAGACTGACTGCTGAAGTTCATAGAAACTCCCTAAAGTTCGTAGAACTTCCCTGAAGCGTTAAGGTCTTTCCTGAAGGGTTCATTGAAGTTTGTATTGCCTGAATTTTATGGGACTTCCCCGAAGTTCGAAGGACGTTTTTTAAGATCTTAGGATTTCCCTGAAGTTCAGAGTTTTATTCAAATTCATAGGAATTTCTTAAATATCGTAGAAGTACCACGAAGTTCGTAGAAATCCCTGAAGTTTGAAGGACTTAACTGAATATATGAGGACCCTAAAATTAGAAGAGCTTCCCTGAAGTTCATAAGGCTTTAAATATCAAAGGGTTTTCCAAAAGTTTGTGGGTCTTTCCTTAATTTCTCGGAAATTCCCTGAAGTTTGGAGAGCTCCCATTAATTTCGTAGGACTACCTGTAGTTCAATCGACTTCTCGGAAGTTCTAGGAACTTTTTTGAGCTTGGAGAACTATGTTAAGTTCAGACGGCTTCCCAAGAGTATTGAAGACTTCTCTGAAGCTCGGAAAAAATCCATAAGTGTCATAGGATTATCCTTAAGTTTTAAGCAATGCCTAAATGTCGTAGAAGTTACATTAAATCTGTAGAAAATTCTGTAAAATTCGTAGTTATTCCCTAAAGATTAAAAGACTTCCCTGAAGTTCGTAAGATTTCTCTGAAATTTGTAGAACTTCTCTGAAGGTTCGTTGAGATTTCCTGACCGTCGTAGGTCATCACAGTAGCTCACAGGATTTTCCTGAAACTTGTAAGAATTTCCCGAATTTTGTAGAACTTGCATCAAGTTCGAAGGCCTTATCTGAAGTTTTTAAAAATAGAACTTTTTTATTGAACACGTTGAACAGGTACTTCAAAGTAGTTACGCGTCGGCACTGCTTAAGTCTGCTATCAATTAAGCACAAATCATACATGCAATTGATTCGTGAAAAAAATTAAATTAAAAATAAATACAAAATATATTTACTAAATTCTCAGGGTGAATTTTGTTCATCAATGTTTAGTTGTGTGAAAGATTTAGCTTGAAAAAAATGGTCAGTTTTGACCTGATTATAAAAAGATACTTTGACATACATACAATTTAAAACATATTTAAATTATACAAACAAGATTATTTTCCTGGTGGACTTATGAATTTCCTGATTTTTTTCCCGGTTTTTCCTGGTGAAAATGGATTCCCGACTTTTTCCCGGTTTTCCGGGTTTTCCTGGTTTTCCTGGTTCACTTGCCAACCTGAACTGAAGATCCAAGAGTCAATTCGTTAGTAATATGTTTAACGGAAATTAAAGCCTTTGCACTATTTTTTAGTTTTGTGACCGAACTGCAGTTTTTTTTTGGGTTACTTTGATAATGCTCGATGAATGTAGAAAAAAATGTGTGAAACTAAATCAATTTAGTTCTTTAAATATGAAACTTTGAATGAGCATATAATCAGAAAACATCATAAGCAATAATAATACAACATTGAATGTGATGGCTATATCGGAGATACATTTCATAAGTGATGGTTTGGGTGCTATTTCAAACAGGCGAAAAACAGGAAAATTGTTTTTTAATATGTTTGTAAAATAAGTAAAACCGGCGCCGGTGGTGTAGTGGTAAGCGTGATTACCTCTCACCCCAGCAGACCTGGGTTCAATCCCAGTCGGCGCCGCCGGGATGTTCTGAGGCATAACATCTCTGATCACGCCTTCCGTCAGATGGGAAGTAAAGCCGTTGGTCCCCGGTTCATGAGTTGATGGGTCGATAGGTAGGGTCCAGGTGTAGGAGCTGCCTTCCTGGCACGTCGGTAGCATTGGTGCTCAGCACGGAAAACAAGATCGACGGAAAAAACAAACCAAAGGCAAAAAAAATAAATAAGTAGCACATACTACATTAAAAATCAATATACGATATCAACGGAAATACCCTATGCTACAATATGGAACCAATGTTTCTAATTTGGAAAAAGCGCAACGACTAAATTTAATCTTTACATTATACTATCAAAGTTACCCGTATTATCAAAGATACCCCGTTTTACGGTACCTACCGTCAAACCTTTCAAACGTTATAAGAATCTGTCTGCCAAATCCAGCTCATATGGATATCGTAGAGAGTGAATCCTGAGGACATAAATGCAACTGCGTAGTCACAACAATAATATCCATTCATGCCGTCGGTTAAGCCTTCATCAGAACCTGTTTTGGGGTTCACAATGCCTTTTCATGCTACATTTATTTATTTATTTATTTTTGAATCGCAATTGCAACAAAACATATTGCCCATTAAATCATTCACGACGTTTAGCGACACGATTGCTGTCTTTTGATACGCAGGAAAAAAATGAGTAACATGTGAACCGTAGCACATCGTCATTATCGTGGCATTGTCCACATACCTAGCAGACAACATGCGACTTCCTCTCTGGAAAGCATTTCGTGCTTCAACTGTTGAAGGTGCATCAATGGACGGAAATAAACGGAAATGAATTTCCACTTATCACTCATAGCTATGTGACTTTGAAAGACTTTCGCTTTCAAAGAGGAAAGACTAGTACAAAAGCTGCAATACATTAGATACCGGCTGCAACAAGCAAGAAACAAGAAAGGGTAACAAAACATCACTCTTTGCGCGTAAATGTTTTAACATTGCGACTACTTACCAACCGATAATTCGTACCGACATGGCGCACTTTGCGTGACCGCTAATTGAGATGAGAGCGAGAGTATAGTGACACACATCACCTGTTAGGTGAATGTGGCATTATTTGATGTTCAAACTTCTTTCGCTGTAGGATTTTTTTTCTCGGCTAAGTGTAAGTTTAAGTTACTCTACATACCTACCTTCATGCGAACCTTGAAACGACACTAATGTGGCTTAATAAGATAATGATCCAAATTAGCGAAAACACGCGGGTCGACAGGAAGAAAGTCGCAGCGAAAGTTGCCCTCTGTAGTACCGTTGGTTCTTCAGTTATGTGGCATGGCGAAAAACACCTAGGATTGTCGAGTTTTTGGCAAATATACCCACCGATTCATATAACGATGAAACGTTTTAAAAGGGACGAAAAGGCAAACAGTTTTATACATAGACATGAATTTATTTTCGATTATTTAACCTTGCAATCACAACTATTTTCTTATTTAAAAAGGAAAGATGGTAAAAATAACTTAAAATTCACAGTGGTAAACTGTTCACTGGGAGTATCGCGAATAACAGGATAGAGAAAGAAACGTAAATATTCAAAAAGAAGGAAACGGAATACGTCGAATTTAGTCGCTGCTCTTGTCTGCCTCAACTGCCGTCTTCTTAGCGGGAGAACCTTCAATCTCGGTGGTGGCCGAGTCCGGTTTCTTACGTTTGATTAGGTGAGTGATGTCGGTGGGTTTTTCGGTACTTTTTGCACTGGAGGAAGTTCCGTTGGTCGCAGAAGAAGATGAAGAAGGGCCGGCACCATCAAAGCCGTTCGTGCTATCACATTTGACAATGATTTTGGACAATTCACGTTTGACTACCTCGATCGACTGCAATTAGAATCAAGAAGATAAGAAATTATATGAGCATGGTGGTGCTTTGGTTTTTTGGGATTGACGTTTTGGATATGACGATGTTTTATAGGACTATGGCCTTGCATACTAAATAAAAGTTAGAAGTTACTTCTTTCAGGGACACTTCTGCACTTCTGTGCACCCAATGTGGCTTGAAAATCTGCTGGTCTAAAGGACTCTGAATCTGTGATGCCACAAATACAGATTTTGGCATACGAAAAAAGTTGTGAATGCAATCTAGCGGAGCAAAATTAATAACACCGAAACGAAGCATTTTCGCGACTTGGTGTATTCGGCAAAGTTTCGCATCATAATAAGGACCATCTATTGAAATAAATAAATAGTTCAAAACTCTTCCGCAGAGATGACGCCACAATCTAACTTCTTTCTCTGAAGTTTTGGAGACTTGATGTCTCCGGCAAAGTTGTTTATCTTGACAAAATAAACAACTCTTTTGAAGACGTAAAATTTCCACAGCCTGGTTTCAAAGTTATGGTTTCGAGTTATATAGAGTTAAAGAAAAAAAATTGTGAAAGCATGTTTTTTTTTATTATACTACCATATAATGTTATATTTTTCTCTTATGCAAATGCAATAAATAAATAACTTTTGTCAACAATCATAGTAGCTTAAGCTTCAAATTTTAAAGATATTGTTGAACAAAAACACGAAAAAAAAGCAATTTTTACCAAAGCCCAAAAAATTGCAACCTGATATTTTCAGCAACAACTAAGCAATGCTCGATAAAGAAAATATTAAAATTGAAGAGAGGTATATTTGGGTGTTTTTGAGATTTCTTCATTTTAGTGGAATATGCTTTTTTTCTATAACTTTTTACAATGCATTGAAATGGCGTTTTGAAGACATGACGTCTTAGATAAAGTTGTTTATCTTGATAAAATAAACAACTCTTCTAAATACGTCAAAACTCCAAAGCCTACTATTTTGATAGTATTTTGATATCCGACTTTGCTCGGGTACCAACATTTTTCGTGTAAAAAAAACACAGAACCTGTATTTGTGGCATCACTACTCTGAGCAGATATTCTAAAATTTAAAATGGAAGACAACTTATTCTTCTTCTTCTTCGCATTTCAAGCTTATCGCATATTAGCTTTTTTTCAACCCGAACAATTCCTAGACCGGACCGGGCATCGAACCCAGCCACCTCCGCATGGTCTTGGTTTGTAGCTGCACATTTTCCGATTTAGCTAAGGGAGGCCACTTAAAATTTTAGACAAATTGGTTGATTACTTTCTGCGCACGAGTTGTTTTGAGCCATGTTTTGAGCAGATTTGAATGATTTGATTGTGAATATTGAGGCATTTCCAGAGTTATTCATTGAGAGGTTTCGAAGCCTAGCATGGCTCCAGCATACAGAATACAATATTCGATTTACGCATATTCAACATGCAGCAAACATTGATTATACAATAAGGATTTAAAAAAAAAATACTTTTATTTATTGATTTTCTTCATCTGACTTAAGTTATTTAAATCAGAGCATAAAATGTTTGCCTGCTTAGGCTGAGTGTGAAAGCACTGCTCTATTCAATTCATTGCTCTACCCGAATAAAAATAACCATAAAAGAGAGCTTAACAACGTGTTCGGGGTATTATCCAATCCATTTGTGGGATAGTTTACCCATCCGTGATACAGTTCGTTTATGGTATTTGTTTATTAGGGTATCCAGACCGTATGTAACAAACGGTGAAGGACGAGGCAATGAAAGATCCAACAAAACATTCAGTCACTCACGAACAGGCGACTCACACCACTTGCCTTTGCTCACACAGCATGTACTTGAGGCATTTTTCCATAGAAAATGTAAGCTCAGTCATTGACAGTAAGGATTGGGTACCATCACGGAAGAATAAACGTGCTGACTGAGCTACTGACTGAGTGCTCTGCTGTCAGTGACTCGTTTACTTCCCAATCATTCAGACTCTCACGAGGCAGTGAATGATGAGGCGGATGGCTGTTCAAATATATGTGAAAATGACTAATTGAACCTGAATGTTTTGCGCACTGCTGCTGCGGTACTTCTTGGAAACGTTTTTATTATTCAGACCAGAAATTGTATGTTGTATTTGTTATATTTCTTTTGTCCTATTTGGTATTGTTTTTCATGCTAGTTTTACGAAAAGATATGGAGTTGTTACCCCTATTTGTGCAAATCTTACATGCTACTATAATAATTAATATGATTTTTCCCTGCTTTCCTGATGGGGAAAAGCATATTATATATTATACTAGCATGTAAGATTTGCACAAATTGACGTAAAAACCCCACAACCTTTCGAAAAACTAGCATGAAAAACAATACTAAATAGAAAAAAATCAAAATACAATTTCAGGTCTGACTAATAAAAACGTTTTCCAAGAAGTACCGCAGCAGCATATGTCGAGCATTGAAATACGAAACTAACGATTTTAAACTGGCTCATTACTTGAGTGTATCTCATTCTCGTACTAGAATTGTGTTTGTTTAGATTCGCCTTATAAATTTGACAGAATGTAATAAAGAGTTCGTAGATTTTCCTACGTTTCAAGGGGTGCTTCAATTAGCTTGAAACTAAAGGTTTGGTACTTCCTGAGCTAAAAGATTGAGCATGTTTCTTTGGAACCCCGTGGTCTTAGTGTTAGTCTATGGTACTATCACCTATTAAACAGTCTACGTTGGTTCCGGTGACGAAAGGTTGCTGCTGTGCAGTTGAAATCAAAATACAGGTAGAACTTTTTAAAACGAGCCGACGGGAACATGCAAGCCGTAGTTTGCAGCACGGGGTCCAAGATATAGGAAACTCCTCGATCCAAGAACTCGTTTAGGTGCATAAATTTTAAATTCAGCTAAAACTCCTGGAGAATCGATTTTGTCTATTGCTGCAAACCCTGCCTGGCTAATCGTCCGCCTACGTTCAAGGGTTTCCCAGGAGCTCCTCGTAGTGTGGAGGGTTCATTGGATCATTCCAGGCAAGGTGACCGGAGGTGATGACGAACGAATTACTTTTGGAAATGCTCAATCCTCGCTACCCATACTGCTTGATATGGGCACCAAATTCCAAGATCGAAGGTATACAGCTTTGAGGTAGACAGGATCACGGAACTCGTCGGGAATCTTGAAGATGAAACCGAGTTGCCTGTTAGCGTTTTCAATGATGTCGAAGTAATGAGGCTTGAATGATAAAGCAGAGTTAAGAATGATTCCTATGTCACTAGGACCGTTATGCCAAATGGCCATTATACCAAACGACATTATGCCGAACGCCGAAGAGGCGTTCAGCATGGTCTAGTTTTGAATAGAATTAGGTAATTATTAGGGACAGTGGAAATCGTGGCGAGCACATCCCGTCCCTTATTTTCTCATTGTACATTAGATTATGAAGAGAGGAACAGGTAGTTTCTACCGCGAATCTCCACCGTCCCATGTCTGAAATTTCAATAAAATAATGAAAATATTATTTTAGAGAACGTCTTTAAAAGAAATATTTCCTAACATTGATTTAAAAACAATCCCCAAGCGAACTTATTTGAGGATGTGAACGTGCAGTATTATGCCAATAATTTGAACGAAGGACAATACGAGTGAATTTGTTTTTCGCAGTTTTCAGCAACAAACCCTACTTTTCATTTAGTATTTTTAAAGACAATGATAAATGGATCACAGTTTTGAGGATAACTCAAAAGCACCAAAATGACACATGGGACTGTTATGCGAATTGCGACAGAGTTGTTAATTGAGAGCTTTTTAAGCCGGTATTATTATTTATGCATTAGTATATATTGTGTGTCCAGGGAGGTCGACAAATTTGCCAATAACCCGATGTCTAGACCGAACCGAGATCGAACCCAGCTGCCTCCAGCATGGTCATGCTCTATAGTTGCACTTTTACCACTTTTTTTATTTCGTTTTTCATTGGATATTTCAACAACAGAACATTAACACAAAGGTAGAATGGGTTTTGTAACATTAAAACGATTAAATGCTTCATATACCTTGGAAAAATGCACCTTTACTGCGTAGCTAATAAGATTTACTGTCCTGCCCATGTTTTTTAGTCAGATGAGCGAAGCGACTGGCACGATAAGCTTCTAAAAGGAGACAGGATAAGGTCTAGGACTCAGTCTAGGATAAGCTTCTAAAAGGAGATTTTTCAGCAAAATATAATTGCCCGTCGCTCCGCTCCTCTGACTAAAAAGAACACGGTTCTGCCGTTGAGTACATACGCAGTAAAGGAGCATTTTTTCCAAGATTTATGAAGCATTTCTTCGTTTAAATATTGCGTTTCTATTGCTTCCTTAACAAAAATCCCAAGTCATAAAAAAAAAACTGTGAATGATTGCAAAATGTTATGCAAATCGGAGAAGGTCGTGTTTTTCCGATGTGTCATTTGACGTGGAACTGCTCTCCCATTAGAATAAGGATTAATTAATAAAAATAAATTCATTAGATAATTGTTAAAGACAGCTTTTACGTTTTGAATGCCATGCCTCTTAAATTCTGTAAGTGTAGTTAATGTGTCTAGGCATCGAATTGAAAACATTTATTCCTTTAAAATACAATGAATTTTGTAAAGCACAGGTCAATAAATGCGGTGTTCTTATTCATCCGCGTTTCTAGCATTATATCTATGAGAGTCACTTCCTCTTTCAATTCGATCACAGCAAATCGTTAACTTTTAGTGTATGTTAGTAGTAGTGAATACCATAGTTAAATATACAATTCACTGCTCCACCGACAACCATTTCAAAGCGTCTAGCATCAAAGTTGAGGAAATGAATCTATTACATCTCAAAATCAACGTATTATATTACACTGCAATCGCTGTAATCTCAATATTTGTGTTTCATTTGATTGATTTGTATAGCTGTATTTGACTGGTAATATTTAAATCGTTTTTTAATCGACATAGAATTCCATACTTCTTGGCAATGTTCATGATGACCAGTGATGGAAAAGTTCGCAAAAAATCACTATGACTCGCGAACTTTTCCTTTGGAGAACTTCGTGAAATATCGCGAACTTTTCCAACACTGATGATGACATTGTCAATGTGAGAGTTGAACTTAAATTTGTCATCAATAATCACGCCAAGATATTTAATTTCGCGAACGCGATCAATAGTCTCATCATCAATTACAACAGAGACGTTCTCATTTACTCCATTCCGCGAAATTACCATAAATGTAGTTTTACTTGTATTCAATTTCAATTGCTTATACTTCAACCATCTGCTTAGAGAATGTAAATCTTCATTCAAGTGTAAAACGGCATCATACATATCCTTAGCTGCAATGAATAACACAGTATCATCTCCAAAAAGATGAATGTCACAAAATCGTAAAAAACGTCGCAAGTCATTAATATACACAATAAATAAAAGGGGCTCTAATATACTTCCCTGGGACACTCCAAGGTGGTACCATAAGAGATGATCGAGTATGCAATTTAAAATACCCGAACCCAATCCGTACCCGAATCATAAAATTTTCAAGAACCAGTACCCGACCCGAAACCCAAATGTAATTTTTGAAATACCCGTACCCGACCCGAAACCGAAAATTTAGTTTTCTACCCGTACCGTTTTGGGTAAACAAACCCGTTCCTGATCATCTACAGTTCAATTAACACATATACTTATTTTGTATGGTTTCTGTTTTCGTGAAGGCACATGAATAATAGTGTAATTTGTTGAAAAAATTGGCCAAAAAGTAAAAATTAGTATTTTTGGATAATAAACAAGATATACCCGTACCCGACTATTCCACTTTTGTTGTTACCCGGAACCCGACCCAAACCCAAAAATTTGGTACGGGTACGGGTCGGGTAAAAATACCCGTAACCAACCATCTCTAGTAACATAGTACTTACCGTCTTCTTAGTATCTTCAACTTCCGCTATTTTCTCCATAACTTCCTGCTTGGTTTCCTCAAGATTTTTAATTGCAGCCTCAGTTTTGTCGTCCTGTTCCTTAGCTTTTTCCTGCAGAACGACATTATCCATTTCGCTGCATGCCTCACGGAAAGCCTTAATCGAGTCGTCATATTCATTTTGCATCAAATGGCAAAGACCAATTTTATAGTGAATTTCGGCAATGACTCGTCGGTCAGACTTGCCCGTTTTATCATACACCGCCAGAGCTTTGTCTGAAATATGTTGTTACAACTATCTTATGAGAAATATACGTTAAAAACATAAATTCTGTGGCTTACTGTAATCACTGATAGCAAGAGCAAAATTTCCGTTCTCCAAAGAAATGCTTGCCAATTCGGCGTAACATTCAGACAAGTTATCCAAAGATGATTCTCCTTGCCCTTCGAAGATTTTTACCGCCAGTTCCAAAATTTCCCAAGCCACTTCCAAGTTACCCTCGCACTTCTCCTCTTCATCTTCTTCCGTTTCTTCATTTTGCTGTTGTTCACCATTTGATGTCGATGGTCCAGGCTGTGGTTCTTCTTCCATTTTCGATGAGGATTCTGCTGCTGCTGTGTCATCTATTTTGGATTCTTTATTTTCAACTTTCTCTGCCTCAGCTGTCTCTTCGCTGTTGTTGTCTGATTTGTCTTCTTTCTCTCCTTCCGGAACCTTTCCTTCCCCGTCATCCTCGCCATCTCCCTCCTCATCACCTTCTTCACCGTCTTCGCCCTCTTCATCTCCATCATCTTCCTCCTCTTCTCCTTCGCCCGGTACAATCAAATTGTTCTCGTCTTTGCCTAAAGCAATCAAGGACTTGGCGTACAACAAATAGACTGAACCACATTCGTCCGCCGTCGGACCATACAACTCCGAGTAGATGGTGCAACAAGCGCTAAGATCGTCGGCAGCCTCTGAGTACTGTTTCATGCAATAGTTTCGACTTCCACGGCCAAACAGCTCTTTCGCTTCTGCCACCTTCTCTTCCTTCGTCACGAGAGTTTCCGATTTTTCTGCCATTTTTCGTTTTTATTTCTGAATTTATCTGAAGAAAAGTAGAGAATGATAGTAATGAATTAATTATCAGAGCTTTGAACTTTAAACGTCTTAATATAAACAAATCCATCCTCGTTTCTTGAAGATATATAACATCGAAGCCTTTTTCTTAAAGGTATTTTCTAAGCAGTAAACAAATTCAAATGAAGAAATGTATTGAGGTAACTTTGCCTTGACATAGATCCAGCGAAATATATGTAAACACCTACTGCTGGCAGCATCCAAATATTATCATGTACCACATAAAAAATCATGTTTACATCCTGAGTTTTGAATATAAGTACGTACTGCAGAACTTGGTGCTACTGCTCACTAGTGATGGTTGCTTTGCTTCTCTAGCTGGATATTTGCCAAATAGCACCTGTTGGATCATTTACATCTCAACTGGCACCTTAATATGTTACACTGCAGTGCCATTTTAGCCAAATCGCAGCCAATCCTGCAGTGAAATTTAAATTTTTGCATCCCGCAACCATAAGTTTTTAGCCTGGGCAAATGTGAATAAAACTCATAAGAACATAGGAAAATAAACGTTAGTTTTTTTTAAAAATATATATATATTTTGCATAAGTCATTATTTTTAAAGTGCAAATTATCAATCTTTATAAATAGTTTATTGCACATTTTGCACCAAAATAAACTCTTGCGCTAAGACTCAGATTTGCTTTCGCTCAATACAATAACAATAAAATATAAATCAAATACAGCGTTATATTTTACAATTGCAAATCATAACATCGTACTAGCGATGACAGAACCTTGGTTAATAATGTAAGATGGATGACCAAACAGGATTGACAAAGCCTGGTAGTCTGTATTTTCCTTGCGTTACAGCTTAGAGGTGGTAGAAGGTTGCATTTTATACCAAGATAGAGTGTTTATTCCAGTATACCTCAGGAATTCAATTTTAAAATTACTACATACTTACCATAACGGGATGGTTAAAAGAAAACAAACAGCTAGACGGTGTTTGTTTTGGGTGGGATTAAATAATGCTTATGTTCAACAAAGTGAAAACAGCAGTGGTTCCCAAACTCATTTAAAATAATACGTGGACTCAGGGCGGCGCCGAAGGTGTAGTGGTGATCGTGATTACCTCTCACCCCAGCAGGCCTGGGTTCAATCCTAGTCGGCGCCGCCGGGATGTTCTGAGGTGATGTGATTCTAAGATTCATTTAGCCTTATTTTATGGGTGTTCAATAATTGGATACAAACTGCGAAATAATTGAATTGCAATTAAAAAAAATCCTTGCAAAATAACTAAGTCCCGTTCTGAAAACACTCATATTGCAAGGCACTTGTATTTTTTTTCTCTTAAATCGATGGCCTCCACCTTAGATTCCAAAATGGTGGCACATATTGATATACTACTACTACTCGTTGTCCTCGTACGGATAATACCCATATTGTAAGATATTTGACAGTTTTTTTTTCGGCGGCCATCGGCATTTTGGATGGAATGGAATGGCGGACATCGAATGTTGAAATCTCTACGTTGTCTTCGTTCCCATATTGTAGGGTATTTGACCGATCTCCGCCATATTTGCGATGGACATGGATGTTGTACATATACACGTCGTCCCCGTTCTAAAAATACCCATATTTTTTCCCATCGATCTTGTTTTCCGTACTGAGTACCAATGCTACACACTTAGAAATAAATAATTTTACACGAGACGTAATCCATATTGGACGTAAATCGTGGAACGTAAACAAACATTTCATGTAAAATTAAGTGTTCTTAAACCGAAACATAAGCAAATCGACGAATAGAACGTTTCATTGCATTGATTTTCCAGTTTCTTTCAACTGATTCTTATGCCGCTTACATGTGTCGGTCTCAGGGAACCGAAATGTACATGACATTTTCGTAGTGTGTACCGACGCCAGGGAGACAGCTGCCACACGTGGACCCTACCTATCGACCCATCAACTCATAGACCGGGGACCAACGGCTTTTCTTCCTTTCCGAAGGAAGACGTGATCAGAGATTTTATACCTAAAATCCCGACGGCGCCGACTGCAATAGAACCCAGGCCCTTTGGAGTGAGAGGAAGCCATGCTTACCACTACACCACTGACGCCACTAACATACCCACATTGTAGAATTTGAGTTTATTTTTCAAAAACCGATGGACACGATCTTGGATTCCAAAATGGCGGTGGACATGAAATGTTGACATCTACACGTCGTCCACGTTCCGAAAATACCCATATTGTTGAGTATTTGACAGCAGTGTCTGTTTTAATCATTCCACACGCAAGGAGTAGCGGTTCAACCCACTGTTTGCGTTTGATTTGATAATCTTCACGCGAAATAAACAATTGAGTTCATTATACGTCAATGAATGCGCGTTTGTTGAATTCTCCAGTGCTTGATTATCCAATCCAAAATTATCAAAATCAGAATCGATCCTCAAAAGCAAAATAATTAGATTAATTTTGGGCAAAATGATCATCAATTCAGCATAAGGCAAGAATTTGCCATCGATCTGTGTATAAAAACCAACACGACACGTTCTTCAGCGCAATATTTGATGATGAAAATAATCGTTTTGCATTTGATCCTCAAAATCATCCCCACCAAGATGAAGACGAACATTAAGATTGACAACAAGCGGTAATTAAAATCCAGTCACGAATGAAGAAAAACAAATGTTGAATTCGATACTCAGAGGTTGCCTTGATCAAGAGAATGTTGTTACGTCAAAATACAAATTCATACAGGTAGTTAGTCTATCTGTTATGGATATCTTCATTTTCAGCTAATTTGAGTGTAGAAGAAATGATTTTTATCAGCACTGTTTAGCAGTATTTCTAAAACCAATGACAGTCATCTGGGCCTTCCATTCATTTTGGCGAAAAACATGTTTTATGAAATTATGGAATAATAAGATATTATGATAATATTTTGTATGTGTAAGTAACAAGAAAATATGTATTGTAAAGTTTATGTTTGACACACAAAACATGCAAATTTTGCTTTAACAGAGTCACAATGAGCGATTTTCTGATCGCCTCTTCGCGAAGAGTGAAGAGCGAAGAGTGGGTGAGATAAATGACAAAATCGCTTATTGCGACGCTAATGTAGCAAAATTGGCAGGTATTATGCGTCAGACACAAACTTCACAATATTTTGTTGTTGCTTACACAAACAAAATATTTTCATAATATCTTATTATTCCATAATTTCTTAAAACATTTTCTTAGCCAAAATGAATGGAAGGCACCCGACAGCCATCTTGAATTCCATAATCAGGGTGGCAAGTGAATTTCCATTTTGAAATTCCTGGTTTTTCCCTGGTTTCCCTGGTCAATGATTTAAAAATGTTCTGGTTTTAAAAACCATGTAGGGGAATTTACGTATTCTCGGCAACCTAAGCAGCGACCTTCTTTCTATAGCCTTTTTCTCTAAGGAACGCACACATATGCAGTATTGGTTTGTTTACAATCTTTTGCTGCCAGGTGCTCTAACAATTTCAGTCGAAAGAATTGTCAAAAACTGTTTTGAAACGCTTTTACAAAGCTCCAATCTTCTCTAGTGAGAGCGAGTATTGTCGGCAACCAGTTTTTCTTCGGCAACCGTTCCATTTGAACTGCATGTAAATCTGCTGTTCTATTATCGGCAACTCGAAATCAGCTACAATTTGTAGTGCGTGTGTTGCATTTCAAGAAAACCTTGCTAGATTGCTTTTTCTCAGTGGTAAAAATATAGTCAATTTGAAGGTGAAAGCATAAAGAATCGTTTGCATGCATTCAGCGAAGTGTTTTCGTAAGAAAATCCAGTGAAAATAGTGTTTCAATTTGGGTTGCCGAAAATAGTCTGTCATGTCAAAGCCGTCATTTCCCCTACTTAAAAAAAACAATTTTTAATTAAAAAAAATAAAGTGAATCCTTGCACCATCATTCTTCGCGCAATGCGGAATTTCACAAACCAAAATAGGTATTAAGGTTCTTGTGAATGCCCGTGAATTCTTTATCTGATTGTTTGCTGTAAAGAAGCTAGTAGGGAGCCGCGCTACTTCGTCGTATTATGGCGCCTATTTCCGTTCTATGTGCTAAAATTATAATAGCAAAGCGTTTTCACTCATGTTTTTGCAAAAACATTTTTGCTTACAAGATTAATTACGATTGACACTGAAACATTTCCGATAACCCGTAAAATGAACGACTTTAGGGGTGTATGACGAAGAAAAGCTGAGATACGACGGACTAGCACGGAGCCCTATCTAATGTCTGAAATTTTGAGATCTATAAGCACCTAAATCTTGAGATTTCTGTTTTTGAAAATGCGATTTTTTAACTTTATTATTGAGATTTTTAGCCAACGGGCTAGTTTATCTCAAGGTGAAATTGCGAAGTGTGATATGAATGAGGACTCTTTAAACAAACCTTTGCTTCTAACAATTTTTTTGGATTTCCAGTTAATTTAAATTTTCCGCAAATTGTCAACGATTAAGGATCTTATTTAGCGGAATTTTGATTACAACATGATTTCAAAATCATATTATTAAAAGATTTCGTAAACAACGCTGGTTTGATAACCCTTATTATTAAAAAGACTGACTGTTGAAGTTCGCAGAAAGTCCCTAAAGTTCGTAGAACTCCCCTGAAGCGTTAAGGTCTTTCCTGAAGGGTTCATTGAAGTTTGTATTGCCTGAATTTCATGGGACTTCCCCGAAGTTCGAAGGACTTTTTTTTTAAGATCTTAGGACTTCCCTGAAGTTCGGAGTTTTTTTTTTTTAATTCATGGGAATTTCTTAAATATCGTAGAAGTACCACGAAGTTCGTAGGAATCCCTGAAGTTTGAAGGACTTAACTGAATATATGAGGACCCTACATTTAGAAGAGCTCCCCTGAAGTTCATAAGGCTTTGAATATCGAAGGGTTTTCCAAAACTTTGTGGGTCTTTCCTTAATTTCTTGGAAATTCCCTGATGTTTGGAGAGCTCCCATGAATTTCGTAGGACTACCTGTAGTTCAATCGACT